GGGATAAATCCTAAAACAGTTCATGGGATAAGAGGTACTAACAGTTCACCCCAGGACATCTCAAAGTGCACCTGAACAGTTGTCCTAGGATTGCATTATTGAAGCAATGACAGAACAGTGGCAGTCCATCCAGCCTCTCATTAAACCCTGATTAGAAGGGTGATGTGTGTACACACCAATCCTGGAACAGACCCATTCTGGGACAAACAGAGGCACTTGTACAGGCATACAAGCAACGTCTGTTCCTAGCCTTAGTGAGTCAAAAGCTTGTGCTCTGATCTCTTGCATCTGGACGGCAGAATGAGAAAAAAAACTCAGTTCTCTGAATGAGGTTTCCATTTGTACTAGCTGTCGACACCAGCGAGAACTTTTCTTCCCCACACACATATTGAAGATGTAATGAGAGTCTCTTTTCACCAGACACAGGAAAAGCCAGCCCTTTAAAACCCTGAGGCTATTTTATATGGAACAGATACAGTGACCAAGAGCAGAACACTTCTTTTGCCAAGCTACATAGATGGTTTGAAATCAAATATTATCAAATGTCAAAAGTCTCTGCTAGTCTGTGCTTTATCAGAGGTAGATAGCTCAGGCCTTGTAACCCAGCAATTTTTGTTCCTTCTCATTGACACTTTGCTGAAAGGGTTTTATGACTGTCCCCACCCTCTGTCAATATATTCTGCTGTTGCACTCTTAGAAACCCTCATTTCCTTCTCGCTGAGTGAAGTCGGTGCGTTGATATGTATATTCCACGGCACTGAACATCTAGCTCTGTCTTCTAGCATGGGAACCCTCTGGCATCTACAATGTGTTTTAATTGTATTCGGTCTCTCAGTGCTGGACACCAAAGGGTAAGTAGCACTGTACTGAATGTACATTAGCACAGCTATTCTACATTAGGGGTGTATTCTCCCCTTTAATTGAAGGATATTGTTCAAATGAATGGTGTTATTTTTTAAATGATTGAATAATTCCATGCCATTATCTCCCAGCTATGGCAAACCTCTGGAACACATCTGGATTGCTCGCTGGGCCATCTAGAAGGGAAAGGTCTTCTTCAAGTTATCCACAAAATGCTTAGATGGCCGTGAACACTAATTACTTGTCTTCCTTTCTATTCAGATGCTTCTAAGATACCCTTCTCAATGGGATCTAATTGCTATGCAACATGTTATAACGAGTGCTTAGTGTGACTGAAATGAGAGTTTCTTCACAGGCTGGACTTGCTCTTTGAGTGCATGGCGCCGTCTTTGTGTTGTCCTGATCTGCCTGTCCATCCTCCAGCCAGCTTGCTCCAGAAGCGCCTTCTAATCACTCTGTCCCTTTCTTCACGCTGTGCTTTGCTGTTGAAACACTCTCACAAGATTCTGTCCTTTCTGCATGTCACCCCTTGGGTTTTAGCAGCAGGCAGTTTGTTGCATATCTTTGATGCATTTCCTAAGCAACAAGCCCTCTTTTTATGCTGTACCAAGCCCTAAACAAAAGGACTGGGGCACAATGGGGGCAGGGTGAGCTGCGCGGCACTGAGTCAGGCAGCCAACACCTGCCCTTACAGCCGGACGGTGTCCTCAATCTGCCCCTGCCCATTGCAGGCTCTCATGTGGATGTGCGGAGTGCACAGCCACCAGATCCATTAACTATGGATGCAACATTTCTGCCCCAGCACAGGGCTGAGCTTTGGACCTGGGGTCTATCTCATCTCCATGATATCAATGTAGTTATGTAATATTTCTATAGCACCACAACAGTATTGTCAACTCTCATGATTTGTGGCATTGTTGTTAAAGTCTATCCTTTGGGAATGTGAAAAACTTAGCTCTTTCTTTGCACATTTTATATATATATATATATATATATATATATATATGCAACACACTCACACACATGCATATATATATATATAAAAGAAAGAGCTAAGTTCTTCACATTCCCAAAGCGTAGACTTTAAAAACAATGCCACAAATCATGAGAGTTGGCAACACTGCCACAAGGTCTGCATGATGCATTACAGACAAACTGAAGGGCAGGTCCCTGCCCAGACGAGCCTGTGGTGTAAACTGGAGAGAGGGTTGCCTGGGGTGGCAGACAAAAGTGGTAAGAGGTATGCGGAGGATGCAGGGAACCTGGAAATTGTAGCAAAGTGCCAGGGGAGAGATTGCCCTTGCACCCCTTAGTGCTGGTGTACATGACAGCGCAGCACGCAGGAGAGCGGAGAAGCTGGCCTTTTCTCTTAGCTTTAGCTTTAGCAAGGCTGCTTTCCATCCTCCAGGTCCCAGGCCCTAGCAGAGGGTGTCATCTGTTCACCCGAAGTCAGTGGGACACAGAGCTGAGGATCATTCACAAAACAAAACCAGCTCGCTCTTCTTTGAGTCACCCTTGTAACCTCAGGGCAAGGCCAATTCTGGGGAGAAATGGCCTGGCATGCAGAAGTATTTGGTTTTGACGGGTACTGCCACTCCCCCCATCTCCGTCTCCGGTTCCAAGCAATGAGAAGAGTGAGGAGAAGACGGAGGCCACCAACTTTTGGCTCAAAGAAGAGTGTGGTTCTGCCAGTGCACCCACTGTGTTCAAAGAAATATCACCATGTTTCAGGAGGATTTAAGCCTCCACCTTTCCTTTGACCTGCTTATTGTTAGCACCAGTGCTTCTTTAGGATTTTATTTTAAAGCCACCTGATCCACATGGAGTTAAGGGAATATTTTTCTCAACAGGATCGACCAAAGAACAGCTGACAGTTTGGGAACCTGGGATCCTGGAACAGGTAAGTGCAGCTCTGCCTTGTGCTACGAATCTCCCGTGCGCTGCCCAGCCCGTTTCTCCAACCTGTTGTCCTCCTGTGTTTCAGCCTCCATCACCAGATGCAATTTTAACAACAACTCGAGGCCTTTCTGTGACTGGACCCAGCCGTGTGCAGTGAACCAAGGAGTGTGGATCAGAACGAAACATGCCACTCCCACAGAGGGCACGGGTCCAGATGGCGACTACCCTGATGGAAGTAGGAGCCCATTTCAAACCCTCTTGATTTCCTAGCAGACAAGACAGCTGATCAGCTTTTCTGTCCGACTTCCTTTCTTAAAGGACCCTTGAGGCACACTAAGCTTTTAAAAATATTTTTCAGCCACTAATTTCCTTGTGTGCCGAGGCCTGGCTGGTCGAAGTGCAAGACTCTCTCCCCTTCTCACTTGTAGATAACCTGACTTGCCGCAGCGTGAGTTGGAAATCTCTGTCCGTTCAGGGAAGCAGGAAAAGGCTACTATGGGTGGACCTAGGGTTTTGAAAAGTGGGGTGCAGATGGTGTGGCACAGCATCACATATAGCACGACGCATTTTTCTCCAGTTAAAGAGAAACTAGAAGCTTTACTAATATGCCAGGGGCCTGGTGCTACATTATTCAATTTAAGAGCCAAACAGAAACAAATGTAATTGTAATGGAATGTGAAGTAATTCGATAGATTTCTATATAGAGTTTAAAAAAACACAAACTAGGCAAAAAATAGTCAAAAGGTATTGTTTCATTAATCGTGTCATCCTTACAGTTAAATGCACATTTATATAGATTCATAAAACAATATCTAGTCTTCTTCAGTGTCTTGACAGTGCCGCCAGTACTTCACTGCCCAGCATTTCTACACCTGAGTTAACATGACCGCACCCAAGTTAAGGATTTTAGCTAAAGCTAAAGACAGTCTGCAGGGCTGTGACATAAAAGAGTGGCAGTACTAGGAACGGCCAACGCACAAAACTGCAAAAGAAAGGTTCATATGAATAAGGGAAGATCAAGACCTTAAAAAGGAGAGAGGGCTGTTAGCACCTGTGAAGTGAAGAAAGATTTGCAAGAATCTGGTAGACTGAGTCATGAAGTCAGTTGAGTCTGTCAGCGCTGCCTGAATAGAAATGCAACTCCTTCCCCACCCCCAAGTCAGTTAGTTTTAATGTCTGGATGGGGCAGGATCAAAGGGGGAAGGTGCAGCTGCACCACTGCACCCCCCTGGGTCCACCCCCGAAGGCTGCATGTGCAGCTCTGTAGAACAATGGGAATGCAGACTTCAGCCGTAGTGCACGTACAGTAACGCTATTCAAGGTTCGGTTGGGGTCCACATTTGTTGATAATAATCAGCAGCAATAACTGTAATGATTCTAGACCCAACAATGACATCCCCCATGACTCAAGCCGGCACGGAGTATTACAAGGATCAATTTATGATAAAATATGCTTGAAAAGTTGGCCATAGGCTGCATGTGTGATGCAATCACCGACCTTGGAAATCTTCAAAAGGAGGCTAAACAGTCACCTCGCTGGGGTCACCTGACCCCCCCGTTACCTTTCCTGCCTGGTGCAGGGGGCTGGACCTGATGATCTTCCAAGGTCCCTTCCAGCCTTGCAGTCTATGAATAAAAGCAAGTTCAAGCACAGTCCAGTCCTCCAAAGAAGGGTGACTGGGGATTTACTGCCATCCCTTTGTACGCCCCACCTATGTGCTATCCTAATCTTAGCAAAAGCCACGTTACTTTGCACTATTCGCCCATCTGATCTCCCAGGTAGCCAACATCAGACCTAGTCAGTACTTGTCCCAGAGTAGAACTGGTTGGGAGTTTTCTGTTGTAATCGCTTTATGTGGATATAAAAATTGGCAAAATGACTTCTTTTTCATAACTATAATACAACCTTGCTTCTTGCTGTTAAACGGTGCCCAGGATCCACTCCAAAGGTGGCTACAATTCAGTTTTAAATGACACCAAGCAAAACACAAATCTCTGTCTCTCCATTCTGCAGGTGGCTATTTCATTTACCAAGAGGCCAGTAACCTCATCCCATTCGATGCGAACAGGCTTGAGAGTCCTAGCATAGTGGTTTCCGGAGACATATGCATAGACTTTTGGTATCACATGCTTGGTTCAGAGGATCAGAACGAGCTGAAAGTCATTGTGCAGGATGAGGCAAAGGAAACTGAGGTTTGGAGTCGACATGGAAACCAAAGTTCTTCTTGGATGTACAGTTTCAGAACTGTTTCTTTTGAGGCAGAAAAAAGAATAAAGGTAACAGACACCAAGAACACTCCTAAATGTTTGACACGGCAGGAACGATTTTCCTAATCCTTGTAAGCTGTAAGGGGTTGTGCTCTAAAACCAGGAGATCTTGGTTACACTTTGCAATTCAGTGACTTGAAACAAAGGGCAATTGCATCAAATTACAGTATAAATAGAGCATGCTCTGCTTTTGTCCCCTCTAATTACCACTTCATCATATCATGTTAATGGCATAACTGAGAATAATCAGGGTGTAAATGAAGTGTAGTCAGTGTATCTGGGTTCCAAAATGGCATGCATTAAGTAAGGGACTAAAGTGGCAATAATAAGTGTTTTAGACCTGTAATTAACCTTCTATCATAAAGACTGCTTGTAATCGTTAAAAAGTGTACACACGATATATTTCCTGTATATTCAGATTATAATTATGCTGTAAGTAAGGTTGCTGCATTATCAAGTGTAACCAAAATATTCTATGTCAAAACAAAAAACCCCTCATAAAAGCCATTTTGGGAGTAGCTCTGAACTAGTTCCACTTTTGGTGCATTCTTGCTCTTCAGTAGGCAGCAGCACTGTGTCCAGAATGGTTAAAATATGGACCAGATCACTGAAGTTGTAGCAAATGTTTATCCCTAATGTTGTGAATCTATTGACCCTTGACTCTGCCTATCAGACTTTTGCTGCAGCACCCTAAAAACATCCTCACAATGATTATGTGCATTTAGAGAGTATTGTATATTAACTAGGTGCATCTACATTTGCAATTACTGTGATGCAATAAACTCCAGAGCAGTTTGAGCCAGAAAAAACTGCTCCCAGGGGCAGCATCTACACATGCAACCTGAGACAGCAGCAGTTTGAGCTGGGGTGGAGAAGGCTTGCAGCTGGCTGGACTGACCAGGCACAATTGATGCCCCCAGTCATTGTCTACATGTGTGTTTCAGTGCAATAAAGTACTCTACTGTCCCCTATAGTACTGTCTTACGGTGGAGTTAATTACTTTACTGCGCCCTAATGCTAGCGCACATGCAGACAGTGACACTTTATTGTGGAGCGAATTGGTCTATTCCGCAGTAACGTGCACGTGTAGATGCACCAACTGTGTAAGTGTTCTGTTATGTGTTTGTATAGCATCTTGCTCACTTGGAAATTTCCCAGCTCTAGTTTTCAGTTAGAAACAATTAGCTTAATTCTCAGTTTACTGCACTTTTACACCACGACTGACCATTACCTCAACCTGAACTCATCCTGCTTTCCCCCCCTGCTTTAACTGAGAGAAGAATAAGTCTCTGTGAATTGTCCTGTTGCTTTTAGTTACATTGTATGAAAATACTTTGCCTTCCATCTTCCTTACAATGGCATGATTTCAGGCTGCAGAGTACATAAATGCGATGGGTTTGTCTGTGAGTTGAGTTTAAACCATTGAGGCACTGTCTAAATCTGACCCTTCAATAGATCTGAAAAAGCAAATATCAGGGCACAATAGAACAATGCGTCAGGTCCCTGCTTTGATATGGAGCATTGCTTTTAGACTTCCACGGCAAGTCCTCTGCTTTAAAAAAAAAAAAAGTAGTAAATGCACTTAGTGAGGGGAATGGTCCTGCATGCACTACAATACTGGACTACAGGGGTGTGTGAAGCAGGCCCTATTCAATTCGGACTTGGCCTGAATCAGGGACAGTGATTCGATTTGTTGGTTCAGATCACTGTTCTTGATTCGATTCGGCCGAATCCGAATCTGAAGATTCGATGCTGATTCAGAGAATCAGTGATTCAGACATAGACACAGCTTTAAAAGTTATTTCTACATACCTCGAGGTAGCAGGCACAGCTTGTGATCACTGTGATGCTGGGGTGGATACAGCGTCCCACAGCAGCGTGGGGGGCCCTCTACATGGTCGGCAGCCAACCCGGAAGTGGACTGGAAGTACTTCCGCTCCACTTCCATGTCAGCTGGGTCTTGCGCAGGGGGGCTCCCCGTGCCCCCCGGCTCAACAGTCAGCCATGGGAGGACCCCCAGAGCCCCCTCAGACCTAGGAGGCACCAGTCAACAAGCCGGGGGGTGCATGGGGGGTCCCCCTAGAGTGCTCCCCAGGAGACCTGGAAGTGCTTCTGGTCCACTTCTGGGTCTGCTGCTGAGAGTGCTGGGGACCCCCATGCTCTTCTGGGATGCTCCATCCACCCCAGCATCACAGCATTCGTGAGCCTCCTGCTACCTAGAGGTACATTGAAAGCTGTCTATGTCCAAACCGCCAAATCTTTCCAAATCTCTCTGAATTGATTCGGAGGGTTCCGATTCGATACAGAGAGATTAAAGGGTCCTCTGATTCAATTCAGATTCGGAGATTCAGCCACCAAATCGGGCCGAATCTCCACCAAATTGAATCAAGGACTGAAGCTTCACACAGCCCTACTGGAGTAGGGCCCCTTCCCATCATCTGAACATCAAGGATTCACTTTGCATCCTGTTTAGGTCATTTTTGAAGCTGTTCGAGGACTGACAGAATATGGTGACACAGCGGTGGACAATGTAGGTGTCCGAAGGGGACCCTGTGGTGAGTCTTGCCTTGCATCTAAGTGTATTCCCAACCCACTTTTCCATTTTAAGCTGTTTGCTGTACCAGAATGCAGGACAGAGTAAGGACTCCTCAGTGTCCAAATGCCATTAGAAGGAAGTGTTAAAGTGATGTTGTAACTGTAATGGTCCACAAAATATGTGAGAGGCAAGGCTTCTTGTGGATGAGGTCTTTGACTGAACCAACTGCATAATTGGAAGAGACTTAAACAAGCTTTTGGTCCCTGAAAGCTTGTCTAACTCTATGCCAATGATGCAGTTGGTCCAATCAAAGATATCACACACAAAAATCCTGGCCTCTCACATTAGGAGGAAGTCAAAGACAAAGCATTCACTATTAGGCTCAGAAGGATTTCCCCAGGTTCCTCCCATATCCATCCCCAGCACCCCAAACTTGTTCAAAATGAGCTGTGAGCTTCTCTAAAAAGAACCAGTTTTCATGAAATTCAACAAATTTGGCTCCTGTTTTGTACCATTACTGCTGAAAGTCACCTGTTTTGGAGTTTTGGAGAGGTCTCTGCTGAGCATGTATTAATAAAAAAAGAGCTTCCCTTCCTGCCTGAGCTCTGCAGACACCCTCACTTCCTGTCCGAAACAAATAACAACCAATCAGTAGAGACAAGAGGCAGCCCAAACTCTTTGATTCAAAGCATCCTGCATGGGCAGTGGGGAAGTTTGGTTCTGAATTGGCCATTTGAGGCTGATATCAGCAATGGACTGAATCAACACCCTGCCCCCCACCCCAGATTCACCCACATTAGATGAATGCATTGTAAGGTGGATAGAAAAGTGACTGGGTCATTAGACTCAAAGGGTAGTAATTGGGGCCTTGATGTCTAGTTGGCAGCTGGTATCAAGTGGAGTTCCCCAGGGATGGGTCCTGGGGCCGGTTTTGTTCAATGTCTTCATCAATGATCTGAAAATGGGATGGAGTCTCAGCAAGTCTGCAGATGACACCAAGCTGGGGGGAACAGTAGATACACTGGTGGATAGGGCCAGGATTCAGAGGGTGCACCTGCACGTGCACTTTAATGCACATTACCCTATTTTAATGTGCATTAAAACATCACCAAAACAGTGCACTTTCGCAAAAGCACATTAAAATAGGTACTAGATTTAATGCACATTAGTAAAAGCACGTTAATGAACATGTAGATGCACCCAGAGAGACCTAAACAAATCAGAGGACTGGACCAAAACAAATCTCATCAGGTTCACTAAGGACAAAAGCAAAGTCCTGCACTTAGGAGAGAACAATTCCATGCGCCGGTGCAGGCTGGGGGTGACTGGCTGGGAAGCAGCTCTGCAGAAAACGACTTGGGAGTTATAGTGGACAAGAAGCTGAAAATGAGCCAACAGCATGCCCTTGCTGTGAACAAAGCTAACAACATACTGGACTGAATTATGTTCAGGAGTGTTGCCAGCAAATTGAGGGGAATGATACTTCCCCTCTATACTGCACTAGTGAGGCCATCTGGAGTCCTGTGTCCAGTTTGGGCCACTCACTACAGAAAGGATGTGGAAAACTTGTCAAGCAGAGGTCAATGAAAATGGTTGTGGGACTGGAGGATATGACTAGTGAGGAGAGGCTGAGGGAACTGGGCTTCTTTAGCTTGGAGAAGAGAAAATTTAGGACTGCAGGCCATACCTATCCAGGATGCAGTGCCAGGAGACAGCCCCATCACAGAAAAAGGGGACAGCTTTCCATTCTATTTGCAGTGGCTCAGCAGACAGGGACAGGCCTGTCATGTTTCCACTGTCTGCAAGCAGAGTGTGTGTCGCACAGCCCATCTCCAGTGTTGTTTTATTGCAGAGCCTGCGCCAACCACCACCCTCTCCACCAGCACGCCCACGGCCATCTCTACCACCATACCGACTGACACGACTTCAACTCCAGAGACGACCACACCACCCCCGGGGCCCAGTTCAGGTGAATGCCCTTAAAAACATATATCGCAAGGGCTCTTGATGTGTTAGTCGGTGTCTCTGCGACACGGTCTCTCTGTACCAGTCTTGTAACCCTGCACACTCCTCTGTCAGTGGGTGCGGATTCCAACCCAGGGTCTAGATCGATGCCTAAATCCCTAGAAAAGGTCCTGCATGAGCAGGGGACAGGGGAATTGCTGGAGTGATGTGGTCTGCCATGGGCCCAAGGCCTGCGGCTGGCATTGCACCCCCGCACTGGTGACTCCATGTGTAGCAAGAGGAGAAGCAGTGGTGGCACAGGTATAATCCCTGGGGGGGTGTTGTGTGCTGTGCCCTGCAGAGTCCTGCGTGGCGGAGGGAGACCCTCACTACCTCACCTTTGACAAGCAAATGCACCACTTCATGGGGAACTGCACCTACACCCTGTCCAAGCTGTGCGCGCCCAACAGCACGCTGCCCAACTTCAACGTGGAGGCCACCAATGAGTACCGCGGAGGCTACACGCACGTGTCCTACGTCCGCGACGTGGCGGTGGATGTGTACAGGCACAGGATCACTTTAGAGCAGGGCAGAGTGGTGACGGTGAGATCCGAGTGATGGGAAAGTGTGAGGAGGGAGGTGCCTGTTAGCCTACAGGTTCCAACCCCGGTGCCCTTTCTGCTTCCCAGGTGGACGGGAAGCGGGAGATTCTGCCCTTGGAGCCATCCACAGGTCTTACAGTCTCCTCCAGCGGCATGTACGTGGTGGTGACCACAGATTTCGGTCTGAGAGTGAGATTTGATGGGAACCATCGCGTGGAAGTGACACTGCCAAGCTCCTTTAAAGCACAAGTGTGCGGGATGTGTGGGAACTACAACGGGAAACCAGGGGATGACTTCCTGAATCCCCAGGGCGGGATGGAGCCGGACTCGACCAGCCTGGGCAACAGCTGGCAGGTCTCCAACCACAGCAGGTAGGTAATGCTGCCGGCAACCTTGGTGCCGTCCAGGCAGTGTGCGCTGTACAAGGAAAGCCCCGCACCGACCTGAGTCCCCTCTATCTTTGGTTTTTTCTCAGTTGCCCTCCAGCAGTAGATAAGCCCCCTATATGCAACCAGACCACCCAGCAGCTGATTGGGAGCACCAACCTGAGCCGCCTCTCTCTTTGGTTTTTTCTCAGCTGCCCTCCAGCTGTAGATAAGCCCCCTATATGCAACCAGACCACCCAGCAGCTGATTGGGAGCAGTCAATTCTGCGGGCTCCTCAAGGAGGGGACCGGCCCGTTCAAGCAGTGCCACGGTGTGCTCCGCCCTGACGCATACTTCAACAACTGTGCCTACGACCTGTGTGCGCTGCAACTGGAGCCCGGGGCCCTGTGCCGGAGCCTGCAGTCGTACGCGGACGCCTGCCAGTCCCTGGGAGTCACCGTCACTGCCTGGAGGAACGCCACCTTCTGCCGTGAGTCAGGAAACAAATGCCCAGGGCCCCTTCCATGTTTCTAGGCTCCTACTGGCCCATAAGTAGTAGGCGTGAGCCAGGAAGGGTTGGACCTGGGAAACTCCAAGACTTCCAAGGACAGGCTCTTCCCTTGAATGATTAAGTTGCATCCTGCTCTCTTGCCATTGCTCTGAACCACTGGTAGGTCGTCTTTGTACGACACAAGACTGGTGTCATTGTCTGGTGCTCAGGGAGTAGAACCAACCATGTTTTCACCGTGCTTAAGTAGGCATGGAGATGGATTCGGATGACACTAAAAATGCCCTGTCCAGTGCTTGTCAGGTGACCAGAAGAGTCCATTAGCACAGCAGTTCCCAAGCACAATATATTTCTCTTGTTTCCCACAGCAATCCAGTGTCCTGCCAATAGTCACTACGAGCCTTGTACGACCGCCTGCCCGCAAACCTGTGCCCGCCCCACGGCTCCATCCACGTGCAGCCTGCCGTGTGTGGAAGGGTGTGTGTGCGACAGCGGTTACCTGCTCTACAATGACCGGTGTGTCCCCAGCGGGCAGTGCGGGTGCTGGCATGAAGACCGTCACTACCCAATTGGCTCTGAGTTCTGGACCGACGATACCTGCTCCAAGAAATGCAGGTGCCCCGCTGCAGGCAGCAAGCTGACCTGTGCTGTGGCCTCCTGCCCTCCAGCCCATTACTGTGGGTTGCAGAATGGCGTGCCTGGCTGTTACCGCTACACCTACGGAGTCTGCCGAGTGCACAACGACCCGCACTACAACACATTCGACAAGGTGACTCACCACTTCATGGGCACCTGCACCTACACGCTGGCCAAGGTGTGTGGCAATGACAGCGCCCTGCCCGTCTTCAACGTGGAGGCCAAGAATGAGCATCGCGGGAACCCCTGGGTGTCCTACGTGCAGAGGGTGCGAGTCGAAGTCTACGGGCTGCGCATAGACATCGTGAGGAACCATCGCAACAGAGTCCTGGTAAGTACCAGAGCTTACAGTCATGGAGGCATAGGGCTGGATGCGACCTCCAGAGGTCATCTAGCCCACCCCCCTACCTCAGGCAGGATCACTCCTATCCAAACCATCCCCTATAAAGCAGGATTTAAACTCTACATAAGACTACCCTCATCTCCGATGCAACACACACCTCAGCCCTGAACCCGCTGCAGGGAAAGTATAGGAACCACAGCAGCCAATCTTCTACTTCTATGAAATACTGGCCGTATATGCTCAGGAGGTTCCACGTGGAGGTCATGTCCCCAGCAACACTGGAGAAAGTAAACCCCGCAATCCATACCAACCTAACCAGGCAGTAAAACTGCTCCCTGACCTCAAATATGGCATCTGTTGACCTTACGCAGAGGTGCCAAGACCCGCTAGCCAGGAACCTCTGGCTTTGTTCCCAACAGAAGCACTGGCACAGCTCAGTCAAAGTCCCCTGCCTGGGCTGCAGCCAACACCCAATGCCTCCAGGAAGTCTTACCTGACACATGTGGCAGAAGAGAAGAGCATGGAGGGGAGGAAGCAGCTGGCAAAGCCTAGAAGGCTGGGATATCCCCATTGTAGACCACAGCCATCACCGTACCTAGATCATCCCTTACCAGTGCTGTTCAACTCTCTCTTGACATCTCCAGTGATGGAGTCTACCCCTGCCATAGGCATCTCTTCTAATGCTTCACTATTTTGACAAGGAATAAGCGTTTCTGGATATCCAATGTAAACTTGCTCTGCTGCAGCTTCCAGCTTCTGGTCCATGTCCTCCTCTCTGCAGCAAGACAGAAAAGGTGCTTTCCCTGTTCTGTGTGGCAACCCTTCAATATTTGAGGGCTGCTGTCATGTCCCCTCTTAAACTCCTTTTCTAAGAGTTAAATATGCCAAGCTCCTTCAGCCTCTCCTCGCAGGACTTGCCTTCCAAGCCACTGAGCATTTTTGGTGCCCACCTCTGGACTCTCTTTACCTTTTCCACGTGCCTCTTAAAAATATGGGGGCCAAAACTTCACACAATGCTCTAGATCAGAGGTTCCCAACCCCCGGGGCCACAGGAGGGTTGCCTGCCAGACAGGAAGTCCACAAGTGAGCGGCATACTGTGGACCGGCATCCAACCCTTTTTTGTACAGAGTATATAGTTATATATATCTTTATAAATATACTCCGTATAAAAAAGGCTTGACTGCCAGTTCACGGTATGCCAGTCACTTCCGGTCTGCAGTGACTTCCAGTCTACGGTCTAAAATGGTTGGGAACCACTGCACTAGATGAGGCCTCCCCAGTGCCAAGTAGAGAGGCACAGTGAACTCCTGTGTCTTGCACTTAATGCTTCTGTTCGTGAATCCCAAAACCAAATTCACCTTTTGTGTGGCTGCAGCACACTGCAGACTCAGGCTTCCCGAAGGTCTCTTTCTTCTGGCTTCCCTTATGGCTTTCTTCAAGCAACTTCTTCAAGCTCCGCATAGATCAGATCCTCTTACCGGTAGTTCTCCAGTATATGCCCTTCTAATGAAAGAGCTAGGGCTATATTCTGTGAGGGGCATTGAGCCATGCCCTGGGGAGCGGGTGTTTCTAGGGAGAGACCCTCCCTAGAAGATGAGAAGACAAAGGAAACATTTCTGATTCTCCTGCACCGTAGGATTTGGAGTGACATGATTGTTATAATGCTTCAGTTTCCTTGCAAGAGTCCTAGGTCACGGCTGGGTAAAATAAGAAGGCAACTTCCCTTTCCTACCCTTAGGTGAATGGAGAGTGGACAACCCTCTCGGTGATGGCAGCTGGCGGCTCAATCCGAGTGAGCCGCAGCGGGCGCTACACGGTCCTGGAGACAGACTTTGGGCTGAGCGTGTCCTACGACACGGACCACTCAGTGGAGGTGAAGGTGCCCTCCACCTACTCCAGCCGGACCTGCGGCATGTGCGGGAACTTCAACGGGCGCAGAGACGACGAGTACATGAAGCCGGACGGACAGCAAGCTGCCAACTCCAACGAGCTGGGAGAGAGCTGGAAAGTGGAGGACGGCGACCCCTCCTGCAGTATCCCGCCCCCCACCGCCACACCTCCCCCGCCGTGCACTGCAGAGCAGGAGAGGCTCTACCAGAGCGCGCAGTACTGCGGCATAATGACCAGCCAGGTGGGGGCCTTTGTGGCCTGTCACTCGGTGATCAACCCCGAGAGCTTCGCGGAAAGCTGCGTGTTTGACCTGTGTGCCCTGAACGGCAGCCAGCAGCAGCTGTGTGGCGCTCTGGAGGCCTACGCGGCTGCCTGTCAGGGGGCCGGGGTGATGCTGCCTCGCTGGAGAAACACCACCTTCTGCCGTGAGTATCTGCAGGGAATCCAATGTCTGAGCAACCCTCTGGTGTTCTCGAGGGTGTCCCCCATACCTGTGTCACGCCCTGCTTACAGTTGATGCCTCTTCTCGGAAATATGACACGCTGTTGGCAGGAAAGAAAGTCCCCCGTCTTTGGTCAACCCATAGAAAAGGCAGCAGCCGTCAGGCCTGACTCTGCCAAATGTGTTTTCCACCTCCTCTTGAGGTCAGAGATAGCCAAGGGTCCATGCTTAGTACATCCATAAGGTCTTTCTAATGACTCTGCAGGGGAATGGGTGGAGATGTCCCCGGAAGAATTAGGCACGGCATGGAGACGTATGAAGTTGGTTCGTTATGTTATGGAAGGCTCCCATAGCTAAGGGGAAGTGGACGGAGTTGCTCGGTTTTACGTCCCTCTTTACTGGAACCGAATTGTTCTTGCGTGTCCTGGGCCTGAAATAGTGACTCTGGGGTTCTTCGCTCTTAGGGTGTCCTGGGGTTTAGGGTTTTTAGCGAAAGCCCGATGGCCTGGTCTAGGCGGTGCTGTGCATCAGGGCCATGAGTTAGTGCCTCCTGTGTGTGTTTTCCAGCACTCCCGTGCCCTGGCAACAGTCATTACAATCCATACACCAGTGCTTGTCCTGCCACCTGCTTCGACCCCATGGCCCCAAGCAACTGCAGCAAGCCCTGCGTGGAGGGCTGCGAGTGCAACACCGGCTTCGTTCTCAGCGGGGAGCAGTGCGTCCCCATCAGGGACTGTGGCTGCCTCCATCAGGGCAAATATTATAAGGTGTGTTCAGGGCGCGGTGTGGGATTCGGGGTCGTTTCCTCGTGCGGGTGAACCTGGGCTCTTAACAGGGTCTTTATTGGGTTGTCCCTGACAGAAAGACGAAACCTTCTGGCAAACCGACTGCAAGGGCAAATGCACGTGCGCTGAGAACGGCACTGTCACTTGCAGTAACGAGACGTGTGAAGCGGACCGCATCTGCAAGGTGCAGAAGGGAATCCTGGGATGCTACCCGCCAGACACCGCCACCTGCCACATCTACGGGGACCCTCACTACGTCACCTTTGACGGGAGACTCTACCACTTCCAAGGCGAATGCAATTATACCGTCGTCCAGCCCTGCGACAATTCTTCCGAGCCGTTCTCTGTGACCACCAGAAATGAACACAGAGGAAGCCCGGCCTGGACGGCGCTGAACTCTGTTTCTGTCACCCTGAAAAACGTTCACGTTGCTTTGAGGAAAAACAAAGAGGTCCAAGTAAGTAGACCCCCTGACATGCAGAGGCACACAGGGTAGCCTGTCTCCTTGGCTCTCCATCAGAAGTGACTCCGATTCCCAGGACTTCTTCGCCCTCATGGCTCTAAAGAAACGAGTACCGATACAAATGCTCTGCAGTACACCAGAGGCCAGGGCCACGCTTCTTCTCTCCTAGGTAACTTTAGGGTTTCAATTTGAAACCCTCACCTTGCTCCTGACAAAGCACAAGTGTCTTTCTCCATCTCTCTGCCAAGGGAGATGGAGAAAACCTGTTACGCTTGGCCCCTAGTAAATCCATGGAATAAAAGTGGTATTTCTCCATCACCCCTCTAAGGAAGAAATGACTTGTTATGCTGAGTAGGGATGTGCAGATTCGGTCCAATTCAGGGACAGTGATTCGATCCATTGATTCAGATCACTGCCTCCAGTTTGATTCAGCTGAATCCGAATCTGAAGATTCGATGCTGATTCGGAGAATCAGCGATTCAGACACAGGCACAGCTTTAAATGGTTTTTCTACGTACCTCGCGGGACAAGTGCAGCTCGTGATCGCTGCAATGCTGGGGCGCATGCAGCATCCCACAGGAGTGCGGGCGGCCCTCCACGTGCTCAGCAGTCAACCTGGAAGTGAACTGGATGTACTCGGCGATTGGCCACAGGGAGACCCCGGGTCCCCCCCAGACCCAGGAGGCACCAGTCGTTGAGCCGGGGAGGTTCCCAGGCTCCCTGGTGGACCCAGAAGTGCTTCTGGTCCACTTCCGGGTCTGCAGCTGAGCACGCTGGGGAGCCCCCCGCACTTCCGTGGGATGCTGCATCTTCCCCAGCACTGCAGTGTTCAGAGACCCTCATACCGAGAGGTATGTAGAAAAAACGTTTAAAGCTGTATCTATGTCCGAATCACCGAATCTGTCCGAAGCTCTCCAAATCGATTTGAGAGATTATAGGGTCCTCTGATTTGACTTGGATTCAGAGATTCGGCCACTGAATCAGGCCAAATCTCCACTGAATCAAATCAGGGACTGAAGCTTTGCACAGCTCTCACGCCTGGCCCCTAGTAAATCCGTGGAATGAAAGTAGTGTTCAGTTGAGGACATGCCGTGAGCAGTCACTCGTTAAGTGTTAATACTGTTTCTCACCCGCACTACTAGAGCACTGCTACTAGAGCACTGCCGAGCAGGGGCATGACTAGGAGCCAGGACACGTGGGATCTCTCTGCTCTGGGTGGAGGGGAAGGGAAGGGCTGGAGGCAGTGCATCCTGGTCACTAGGTGGGCCACACTGCCATACCTGCACTTTCACCAAGAGCCCTGTCGGGCAGCTTCTACCTTCTCCCAGTCCTTTCGTATGAGCTGCGACGTGTCTGCAGTGTGGACACCTCACTGATTCCCAGTGTCCTTGCTAAGTCTCTGGTTTGTGTCTCCCCTGTTTTAGGTGAATGGAATTCGAGTGGCTCTTCCCGTGAATCTTCCTCCTGGGATTTCAGTTGCTCTGCAGGGAGCCTATGTGGTGGTTGACACCCCCGTCGGCATTCAGGTCAAGTTTGATGGTGACCACGAGCTTTTTGTTCGTGCTGACGAGCGTCTCAGGGGGCAGCTGTGTGGTCTGTGCGGCACCTACACGGAGAATCAGCTGGACGACTTCCTGAAGCCAGACCACCGCCTAGAACAGGATTCAACTAAGTTTGGTGACAGCTGGCAAGTGAAGAATGACAACTGGACGTAAGTAGTTGGGGACTCTCTGGGGAGAACAGGTCAAGGTCTACAAGAACCAAGATGTTACAGGCTCCACGGACACCCGCACTCATTTTTTTACATAAGCCCATGGTTTTGCCTCAGTCTGGGGCAAAGCAGATGTGAATCCTGTCCTGAGTCTGGTGTGCACACCCATTCCCCTCTCAATCAATGTTTAATGAGGGGCTGAATGCACCGCCACGTGTCTGGTATGGTTTCAATAATGCAGTCCCAGGACACCTGTTCAGATGCACTTTGCTGCGTTCCAGGACAGGCTGTTCTAATTATTTATCCCATGAACCTTTTCACAATGGACTTGGATGTCTGGATGATCAGACTGACTGCATCTACACAAGATGCTGACTGTGCAGTAGCTCATTAGTAGTAGTGTTACGTGGCACAAAGTGTGATGTGATGCTACTACACAGTAGTAACGAGCTACTGCACAGTCAGCATCACCTAAAATCCATTCAGCGATCCTAGGGCACAGCAACTCCGGTTACTGCACAGTCATTTAGTACTTGTGTATGCAAGTACTGAATGACTGAGCAGTAACCACTGCACAGCAAGCTTCTCGTGTAGATACAGCAACCTTGTCCCAGGATAAAATGCTTTCTCCCAGAACATATACGATGTCTGTTTGTTCCTCGCATAATGGACCTGATGTTTCTTTCTGATGCAGCTGCGGGCCCACGCCTGTCCCACCAGCCTGCAACCCCGTGCAAGAGAGGAAGTATGAAGAGCTGTGCAAAATCATTGTGGCCAGCAGCGGGCCTTTTGTATCATGCCATTGGTCCACTCCCCCTCAGCAGTACTTTGAGAGCTGTGTCTATGACCTGTGTGCCACGGGAGGGGACATGGAGCAGTTCTGCAAAGTCCTGGGAGCGTACGCTGCCGCCTGCGAACTTGGAGGGGTGAGCCTGGGTGACTGGAGAAAGGACACCGTGTGTGGTGAGTGATGCGTCCAGCCTGCCGCTGGGCAGAATGTGAACCAAATCAAAATGCAAGCAGAGTTTTTGTGAAATCCTCAGTGCAGTGACATTAATCGGAGACCTCCGTGGCACGGCCAGTGGTCGCAGATGTTCTACACTAGCAGATGTGGAACCTGACCCCGCGCTGTCGTGGGCAGGAGTCTCCTAGCCAGGCTGGCGATCTGTGCTCTATTTACGGCCCTGAGTGCCTCACGTTCAGCAGCTGCCTCTGCTTTCCATCACCTCTAGGGCAGACGTGCGTTGCAGAGGCTGATGCTGCTGAAGGCACCAGGTGCTGGCAGCCTCCCTCAAGTCAGGTTCGTGAACTAGGTGCCTCATTCTGACTTTGAAAGTCCAACTTCAGCCCTGATATGTAGCCATTTTGGTTTGGGATTTTGGATCAGACTAGTCGCACCAGCTTTCAAAGACTGCTTGGTTGAGAAACCTGTGGACTGTAGGCCGTGCCTGTCCAGGATGTTGTGTTAGGAGATGGAGAGAGCCTCCTTCAACCCATCGTTGAAAAAAGGAAGCGTTTTCCTCAGCAGACAGAGACAGACGTGTCACATTTCTGCTGTCTGGAAGCCAGGCGTGTTTCACACAGCCCATATCCAGTGTTGTTTCGTTACAGAGCCTGTGCCTGGAATGCCGCCCACCACTAT